AGGAGGGCCTGGTGTGCTCTGGTCCATGGATTCAGTAAGAGTCCAACACAACTTAACAACTAAATAACAACAACATTCTCTTGCTTCACATAAGAAACCTCCCCATTCATATCAAACTCTAAGACTTAATTATTTGCTAACATTGGACAAACACCTTATATCTGCTTTAACTTTGATTTCTATTTAACTGAATTAAGAACTGGCTTAGCCGCCACCACAGTAAGCAAACAATTAGTTATACAGTACATGGTTATATTTACCTGAATACTTGATATAATAAAAAATGTCAAAGATTTTGGTATCTGCAGATCTTTGTTTTTCTCTACATTTTGACTCCTTAAATTCTTCCAATTTTTCTTCAAGATTTGTTAAGTTTAGAGAAGATCCTTCAGGAAGCCACTTAAAAAATTCATCTCGAAATGGATCTGGAACAGTGCATGCTTTAAATAAGAGTGAAATAATTGCTTTTTGATTTTCCTCTGTATCGATCTGTAGATAATAAGATGGATAACCTTGCATAAAGTACTTTGATCCAGATCTTTTAACTTTAATATTTACTTTCCACCAAGGATCAACAAATGGAAACCGTCCAACCACTTCGTACTCCTTCTCGGTGTTTAATTCCTTTATTACAACTGTAATAATTTAAAAGGGAAAATGTTAATACTATATCTATATATTTTGATTTTTTAATCAAATGAAGTTTTAATTTTTTTGAAAGTTTAAGATCACAATCGGATACCTAAAGGACCGCCTCCTTCCATATGAACCTACCCAGCAGTTAAGATCTAGCCAGGGGGTCCTTTTGAAAGAGCCGTCCCTTAAGGAGGTAAGAGGGATGGCTTGTAGACAAAGGGCCTTTTCGGCAGCTGCCCCCAGACTATGGAATGCACTCCCAACTGAGATTCGTCTGGCGCCGACACTGATGACATTTCGGTGCCAGGTCAAAACCTTCCTGTTCCAGAAGCCTTTTAATTGAAATAATATTAGCTGTGGGTCCGATGGCAATTTATTTACTGTATATATATATTAATTGTATTTTAATTGTTATGAATTTTTATTGTATTTTAAATGTTTTAAGCCACCCAGAGACCTTTGGGTAGTGTGGGTGGCATATTAAATAAATAAATAAATAAACGAACGAATGAATGAATGAATGAATGAATGAATGAATAAATAAATAAATAAATTGCACCCTAATCACAGACCCTGTAAGAAATCTAAAGAGAACAAACTGATTGAAGCAGGCTTTTCCTCATAATTAAGCTAGAGATGTTTACAATTCTCATGTTCTGGCTACACAGATTGGCTCTTCTACAAAGCACAGTGCGGAACTGCACTCCCAACCTCTCTATGGCCAGGTACTAAATGCAGTGAATTATCTAAGTAGTTAATCCCATTGTGTTCTAATGGGCTTAACTCCCAAGAAAGCAAGAATATGGTTGCAATCCAAATCCATAAAAAACTGAACACATGTAAAAACAAGTAAAACTTTTAATAAAACCCTTCCAAGCTTTCGCTAAATTCCATGCTGATAAAAATGAACGGCATAGCAAGTATCTTTTAGAAACAATGTGGTCTTTGCAAAGAAACTTAAGGTGGTAGCACCTTTGAAAATACATAAATTATCATTTAAATTACTTGATGAGTGGTTTGGACAGCCTATTTATTTGAATCTAAGACATGCAAAACACCTTGGTAATTATCCTCTTGTTACCAATGTGACTGTTACCATGTTTTTCCTACCTCAATGGGTCCCAACCCTTCACTTTCCTTCACCATGAATTCTGTGTATAAAAACCTGTAGCTTAACTATTATGTCAGTGTGCCTGAGGAAGTAGATTAAAACCCACAAAAAGTCACACTGATATAAATTCATTAGCCTTTAAAGTGCCACAATTTTCTTTTCCTTTTATTGTTGCTATACCTGCTGAAACAGACTAACATGGTTGCCACACTGAAACTCATGACTCTTATTTGTTTATTTATTTATTCATTTATTTATTTATTCATTTATTCATTTATATCCCACCCATCTGGTCAATTGACCACTCTGGGTGGCTAACAACACTTAAAAACAAAACAATTCAAATACAACGCCAATATACAACATCAATAATCAATTGTTCAAAATGGAAAGAAAAATAAATAAACCAAATAATGGCTGGAGGGAACGCCCGCTCCTCTGCTTTAACAACTGGCTGTCTCATCTCTAACACCGCTAATCTGTTTGGTTTATTTGTTTCTAAATGTGTGACTCATCTTTTGACACAAAGAAGCCCTCTTTTGAATTCACTTAAAACAACTACTTCCCTTATTAAGGCTATATTTGTAGCTGCGTTCTAAAGAAAAACTAGATTGCTGTACTTACGATATGTTTTTTTAATAGCACATTGTTGTTTTATACAGTATACATTTATAATTCCCTGAGTCTTTTTTTTAATTGCACGTTGTTGTTTTATACAGTATACATTTATAATTCCCAGAGTCTTCCAGCTCACATATAACTCTGGAAACTGTAGCTCAAAACAGCAACTTTCCCCAAGGGTTGAATTCGGGTAGGGCGCAACCTCTCTGGGAGGAAGGAAAGGATCTGGAGCTTCCAAAAAGTGAACGCTCCCCCCCCCCCCACAACTCAGGAAAAAGCACTTTAAGCCTGAACCAGCCCGAAGCTAACCAGTGTGCTTCACCCTAAATGGAAAAGGCCTACTCTTCCGCCCGTCTGTCTGTTGGGAGAGTGGACAAGCCTGGCTAGCAACAGGGCATTTTAAATCGCAAATAGCAGAGGTAAGGACTAGGCATGCCTGGCGGGCAAATGGGAGCATCCTGAGACTGAGGGGCTGAGGCGCCCAGCAGCCGCTGCAGAGGCAAGGCGAAAAGCACGAACACCGCAGCGCAACTGGGGGAGGGGCGGCTCCCGTCCTTACCGGCCTTGCGCCGCGGGCGCACGCCCTGGCCCGAGTCCTCGGAGGTGATGTCCAAAGGCTCGGGGTCGTCGTCGTCCTCGTCGTCGTCCTCCTCCTCTTCCTTAGCAGCAGCGCCTTCTCTTTTCAGCGGCAGCAACGAGCCCCAGAGCTCGAAAGGCCGCCTGCCTCCCGCGCGGCCGGGCTGCTGGGCCATGGCTTCTCCTTTTTTCGGAATTCCCGCGCAGAACGGCTCTGGCGCCTCCGGACAGCCAGCAAAGGCAGGAGGAGGAAGGCACCGTCTTCCTCGCTGACTTGTTTTCCGCCCAGCTGCTGGCAAGTAGCAAAACAGGATTATCTACTACAGGCGACTTCCGGTTTTGAAATATTGCCGTTTGTGATACACACACACTCGCACACGCACAGAATACTCTTGCTCACTATCCGGACTTCCCTTTCCCACCCCTCCACCGCGCGATCAGCGTAGCAATACTGTACTATGCTAAATGCCAGACGGACAAATAAAGCAAGATCGGAAATGTAGCATCAAGAGCAGTCAACTGGCATGTTGTTGGAGGTTGTGAATGACTTTCCAGTTTCTGCATCCCGGTCCCTTAAGCAAACTTCTCAGAAAACAAAGCAATTTTCTGCTCTTCTCTTGATTCTAGTTTACAGTCACATACTGACCTGATCAGCTAACGAAAATTGAAAAACCAGAAGCCTCAGTGCAGAAGAACAAACTCTATTTACCCCCCACACACACCTATTGATCCCACCCTGTTAGACAGCACACTGAGTCTCTTCAATCTTATGTGTGACAACCCTCCAGATACAGTATTTGAATACAGCTGTTATGTCAACAGAGTAATTCTAAACACATTCTTCATTAAGTAAGTTGTATGGGAGGCAATGAGACTTCCTTCTGATCTACCTGCAGACATATAATTATGCTGTAAGTTGGGGCTTTGGAGTGAATGTGTCTTAGAGTTCTGAAATGTCACATAGTCCTTAATTTGTTTTGACTAGTGCAAGTAACAAATAGGTTAAGAACTTGATCTAATAGCCATTCACTGACATTTGGTTGTTATTGAGATCTTTGTCCAATGCAGCTCAACATGGTGTGTGACATGGTGAAGGATCCCGGCAGATTCCTTTGCTATGAGAACAAGCTGTTATTCTGCATGTTCGTTTTCCCCTTATCTGGATTGATTCATGAGGACATTTTTCAGTAAATAGTTAAAGTTAGCTTATATTAACTACATCCTTGTATCAAATGCAGTGAGGTTTTCAATTACCCACTTTTTCTATGACCCATGACCATAACTTATCCCATATTTAGACTGGGGTCTTGGATTTTTTTTGTGTGGGGGGGTACCTTTCTGTCAAATTTTTCCCCAAATATACATAGGCCTCCCCCTACCCCCAGAACTGTGGCTTTACCCCCAAATGTTTTCTTCTACAGTATGTACTATGTTTCCTAGGGGCAACCCATGCATTAGTCTCTCTCTCCCTCTCTCTCATTGACCTCTTCTACTCAATTTTTTCTTTTTGCTTCATGTTGTTCTTATGCTTGTGAGAATTATTGACAGTCAAATTAATCTTCCACAGCCATCAAAAGTCACTGAAAACTATTGTTGTGTGCTTCCTTGCTTTATGTGCTAAGGTTTACCAATCGGAATATTTGTGGACATTCCAAATAGTAATAGTGACTGGCCAAGATACTTGGGATACTTGGGATTTGGGGAGAATTTCTGGAAACACACCTCTGAT